ACCCAGTTATTACTTTTTAACGGAGTAATTTGCAGCCTATTTCACCCCAGCTAATTAAAATGTAATCACTATTGTTTGGCAATGTGCATCCTGTCAGCAGTTTTTACTTCAGAAAGAAATCATGCCAAGAAAGCACACACATAAAAAGGCCTTTCACTAGAAACTGGCTGGTGTAAATTGCCTCCTTTAGCCAGTGAAACTGTAAAACAAAAAGAGTTACAACCAACCGACAACAGGGGGAAAAAAAGTCTAATCCCCTTTCAATATAATTAACTGGGTTGAAGAATTTCCTGCCTCGGATATAACTCCCAAAGAAAATGCATGTTCATAGAAGGCAATTTTTCATTTTAAAATCCAGCACATCCATATCTGGATTTGTTATCCCAATGCCACCCACCCCACTAATTCAGGAGGATTACTAAATGCGTGTGTGTGAACATGCATGCATGATGATCGTGTGTGCGTGCGTGCATTTACTTTTGCACATATACACACTCTACATGCTGAAAACCAATTGTGCTTTTGCATGCTTTCCTCCATCCTGGTTCATGTGGACTGACTAAAACTAAATAATTATCTTCAAAATGGAATTTGTCATGGAGAGCCAAAGCTATAACACCTTGTAATGGACTGTTCTTTGAATATGAAATCCAGTTTTCTATAGGATAATGGGCAAGGTGCCAATCACACTTTGTAGTTCTGATTTCTCATAATCTAATTCTTGCTTAAATTAGTCTTGTGCTGCTTTGTTTTGGTATCATTATACATTCTCATGAAGAGCTTCTTTCTCGAATAGGATAGAACCCCACATTCTAATGGGATGGGAGAATATGGAATCGCTTAATGTAATCTCATATTGCTAATGAAATAAGTTTTGAAGGCTTTATTGATTTGCATTGTAGTTTATTGTTCTAAATATTTGCATAATAGTTTTATATTTTAACCATTCTTTGACATTTTAGGTTTTTACCTGTTTGCAGTCCACCTAGAGAAGATTAAGTATTGCATGGAAAAGAAAGCAAGCAAGCAAGAAAAAGAAACTATGCTGTACTGTGATCAGCATTTTTCAGTAGTCTGACAAAGAATTATTTACCCAAACAGGTGTCACTGAAGCTTACAACTTTGCTTATTATGTTGCACTGGGTTCAGCACAACTTACTCACAAGTAAACAAGTTAGGATTGCAACCTAGTCTCTTTCTTTGTCATGTTGTCAATGACTACTTTGTTACAATGCATGCCTATTTCATCAAATACCCTTAAGTACATAGATGTAACTGGAACTTGCATTCTGCTTTGATGATTTGCAGTATGATTTGATACTGAATGTCAAATCATAAGTCACAGAAAAGTACCAATTTTGATATACATTATCAGTCAGTGAGGTCCAAGCATCATCCATTATGCATAAGTCTTCATCTGGCTATTACCCCCCCCCCAACTATACTTGACTACAACCCCCATCTTCCCCAGCCAGGGTAATGGAAACTAAAATCTGTAATAGCTAGAGGGCACCAGGATGGGGAAATCTGTTCTGCACCATAGTTTTCACATCCCAGCTGCTTTTGTACCCAAGCTCCTCACTCCTTATGAGTGTATAGTTTCTGTCTACACTATGCTTCTGCCTGATTCTCATCCCCTTAAGGGATACAGAGCAAGTTAACAGAGTGTATTTTCTGAGAATACATACTTATATCAAAGTTCTTAAACCACTTGGTCAGCAATATGCACAGAATCTGAAGTGGCTTTAACATTGCTGGACATGACAAATAGGTCCGTCTTAGTTTTAAGAAAATTCAGCATCTAAATCACTAAACGGCAGGTATGCTGAAACTTAGACTGCAGCTCACATCTGAGTTCCAGTGATTTCTACAGAGCTTAAATACAGTTAACTGCACACACCACTGGTAGCTTTGCAATACACACTGACAGCAGCTTCCCACTCTCTTGACTAAACACTTAAGATCAAGCATAGGATGACTACAAACAAGGTGCCTTCATTAATTACCTTGCAAATTAAGCTGGCCAAGGTGAACATGCAGTTAAATTACTGATTCCCTTCCATGTCACAGCCTTCTAGAAAGTGAAGATCACGCATTTATATGTTTTTATGGCAGAGTTCAAAAGTCTCTTAAATAGCCTTCTGAGAAGCTTCTGTGCAGATGCATTTTTGAGCAGCAATTTTGTATATGCAAAAATATAATTAGGCTGTAATCTTACACTCAATCACTTAGAAGTAAGCTCCATTGAATTGTATAGGACTTACTACTGAGTAGAATGTACAAAATTGCAGTGCTGATCTTTTATGACTCACAAAGGCTGTGTTTATCTAGACGTTTAGACTAACCATGACTCCACTGCTTGCTCAATTTTTGTACAGCTAAAAGTGGGAGTTTGTTATAAATAGTTTAAGCATAGATTGTGATAGCAAAGAAAGACTGGAATTTTTTTCTAAGTTTGATCACTGGGATACAATATCTGGTGTCCCAGCCACAAATAGCTAGGCCACTACATCTATTCTGTATGAAAGTTCTACAACGGTATACAATGGAACTTTAGTAGTATGTAACATCTGTCTTATAGGGAAAAGAAAAGAAGATTTCTTTTTTCTCTGCTTCACATCTTTGTATTTTGACATTAGCGGAGTGATCATACAGCAACTCCCCCCCCCCCCCACACACACACACAGAGTTTGGAAAAGACCAATTTCTCCAACAAACTGAGAGCACCTTGCAGACAAATCTGTTACTATCTCAGTGCCATTTCACTTCAAAATATTACCCAAAAGAAAATTAAAATGGCTAACATTTGCTGTGCATGCACACCCCCAAAATCACCATACACTAGTAAAATGTTAGGCTAGATAAGAAGAAATGCGGTTACTGATCTTCATGCCACCCACCCACTTTAGCAGCTACTTATTCAGTCTCAGGAGCACCAATCTAGTCATATATTTTCCTTCTTTTTCCAAGCAAAGCAAAAACATGACACTCATGTGAACACTCAGGCAATTATTCCAGTACCATTGCCTGTGGCAGAAAGCAGAGAAGCAATAACTTACACACCCTGTCCTATCAAAATAACTTCCATAGCCAGAAATGCAAAGTAAATGGGACACCTGCTAAGATCTACAGAAGAAACCAACTTCTTTCCCCCTTGCCTTTAGGATCAACTTTTCCAAAGCACCCAGTTTTCTGGATGTACAGGCCAATCATAAACAGAGTCAGGTTGGCTGTCATATAAAACCATTGCTTTCAATGATATTAGACAGTCTGAAAGGGACTGGGCAAGTCAGCTTGCTGAACTGTTCTTGGCTAACAAATACAGCAATCTTTGTAAATTGTATGAAAAGAAACAACTGTAAAATCTAGGGTTGCATTCAACTAAACATGTAAAAGGGAAAAGAAAATCTCAGACATCTGGAAAATTGCTCCTTCTCCCTCTCTCTCTCTCACACACATGTACAGTAACAATAAATGGACTGTTTAATCCAGGATGAGGGACAGAAAGGTAGAAATCCCCTGTTTTTCTGGGCTCCTGTCCCTCTACCTTTCTAGACCCAGGGTTTCTACATATCAGGGTTCTGTCCTTCTATCTTTTCAGTTACTTCAGGACTCAAGGAACACATGCAAGCACAATGAGCATGTGGTATGTTAAGATGTGAACAAAAATCCCACAGGTTGATTAATCCAGAATCACTACCGTGCGTTGGTTACTTACAATTCTTATGCTCATAAATACTAACCAGATGTGAAAGAATAACAACTTCTTGATCACTCTTATGGAAGAAAACAACACATGCAGATTAAGGGATCTTAAGTGTGTTTCTGTGTTTGCCCAAGAACGTATAACTCTATGCCTTATCATAAGTAGCTAGGAAATGCTGCCAGAACTGCACCGCCTGCCACTAATGCAAACATGAATCAGAGCCCGCACGTGACTAAACACTGAAAAATAGAAAGTGAACATTAAGGGATAATCTGCTTTAACAGGACAGTTTTCAGCATGTCAATTTGGAAATTAATCCAATGGAATTTACTCCCGGGTAAGTATGTATAAGATTACAAAAAGTAATGCATCTCTATTTCAAACCAACTCAAACTGAATTCAATCAGACTTGCCCCTAGATAAGTGTGTCTAGGAATGCCACTTAAAAAGTCTTTAGATTGCTCCTTTATACCAAACTTGTTTACCCAACTGAAATCTGCCTGACCTAATCTGGAGAAACTACCCCGGATCCATTATCAAAACAACTTGAATTAGAAGTCACACTCTGCCCTTAGAATCTCGTATTTAGCAGTCAAGCTCCGATGCTTATGTTAATGAAGAAGAGATATGGTCAATTGAACTGAAGCTTTCTGCTGTCGCTAATGCGAATTAATTTCCCCTAGAAGCCCGGGTTGAAAGGATAGATAAGCTGATCCTTGCACCCCCACCAGGGCCGACCGTATGGGAATAACTAAAAGTGGTTAACTGAGAAGTAACGCATCTGCGGGAAGGGATGCTTCGGAGCAAAGCCGACAGACCGGCGCAAGCAGCTTTACTTCTAAGTTCAGTGGATTCCGCTGGGGCTGATCTCCCAGTGGAATCTTGCTTGGGACTGCAACCCAGATCAAACCACGTTGAAAAAGCAGCAGCGTTCCGGGGGACTCACAGCCGAGTCACTGGCGAGTCTCGCTGCGATTCCTCGCGTTTACTCGGGAGTAAGTCAGGAGGAATTCAGCGCGATCTCTTTCCCAGTGAAATGCGCGCCAGCACCGCAGCGCTACGCGCAGCCTTTCCCCAACAGGGGGTAGCGCTCACCAGCCTTGCGTTTGATTGCAACGCTGGGAAGAGCAAGGTGCTCGCTCACTGAGGCTGCGCCCGATGCCCACTCACCTGGGACTGAGCCCCACTGGACTCGGCAGAACTTCCTTCTGGATAGAGACTACGAGAGCGCGGGGCAGCGCGGCGGGTGGCTGCTTTCGCGGCCGTTCCGAGCCGCCGCCCCCACCCCCTTTACCTGGAAATGCTTGAAGAAGGCGGAGATGCGAGTGATCTGCAAGCTGAGACACCTGGAGGTGCATCTGGCTCCGTAGACGCTCGCCGCGGAGAAGGACTCATCCTGCCTGCGAGCCGCCGCGGTCGCCGCTTCCCCGGCCCCAGCGGCGGAGCCGGGCAGGCAGCTCCAGGAAGCCGTAATCCAGAGGAGAAGGGTCAAAGGCGCGCCGGGCTCCTTCAGTCCCATGGCTTTGTGTGCAATCCGGGCGCGGGAGGAAGAAGAGGAGGAGGAGGCAGAGGAAGGCAACCGCGAGCCGCCTCAAGACGCTCCGCGCGCCGCGTGCCGCTCCGGCGCTTCCCCTCGCCCAGGCAGAGGAGGCGGAGAAGCCTCGGCGCGGCACAAACTCGGCGAGGGGGGTCTGCAAGAAAGTTCAATCATTCAACTCTCTTCCACCCCCCCCCCCCCAGCCTCCCGCGCGTAGCCCTCCCTCCATCTCGGGAGGGGTGGGGACAGGGTGACAGGCGGCTGCGCGATTGGCTGCGGGAGGCCTGAGTGATGGGGCAGCCGGGAGGGGCGGGCTGCTTGGCCGCCCGCAGGCAGGTCGCATGGAGAGAGGCTGGAGCGGCGAGAGGCTGCGGGGGCTGCTAACTTTCCTTCTCACGTGCGCGGCCCGCGCGCCCGGCTCTGGGCTCTGGGCGAGCCTCCGGCGGCGCGCGCCCCTCTCGCCGGGCGCTCAGGGCGCGCGCCCCGGGGCGCCCCGCCGGGGCCGCGCACCTGCCTGCGGTCGCACTGGTGCAGCAGCGGCAGGCAGGGCCCGCAGGTCCGAGGTCCGTAGCGCGCGCGCGCGCCCGTGGGCTGGGTGACGGAGAGGGGCGCCCCGGAATGCCCCCCAGCAGCGGGAAAGGGCCACCTGCCGCCCTGCCTCTCGCCCGTGCCGGGCGTGTCGCCCAGATCGCAAGCCTTCATCGGGCTGTGCATTCTCTGCAGAGTTAGGACCACGAAAGGCTGGGGCTGCCCATCCGCCAGCTTTGCTTCTGCATCTTCTGCATGGGCACACCCAGGCAACTGCTTCTGGTGTCCACTGCTCTTCCCAAGGCATGAAAGGTGGCGGTAGGGTCAAGCAGCCAAGCTGTGGAAAAGGTTAGGAGTCTGCTGCCCTCTGTCTGGATGTTTTGGACTTCATTTCTCATGTGCCCCAGCCAGTCTGCTCAGGGCTGATACAAGACATCTTGCTGCCTGAGCCAGCCAACAAGATGGCATACCTTCCTGTCCCACGTACCATTCTGCCTTCTGTACTGATGAAGAGCAGAGTCTTCTATGGCAATGGAAGGCAGCAAGCTAATGTATGAGGCACAGGCAGGCAGTGTGGGGCACAGCTCTCTCCTCTAACACCTTGCTGCCTGAGAGCATCTGCCACCTGAGGCAACTAAGCATGTTGTCTAATGGTAGGGCCAGCCCTGAGCATGGTCAATGGTCAGGAATTTTGGCAGTGGAAGTCCAACATCTGGAGAACATCTGGAGAAACCTGGAGTAGGCAAGATCAGTAACGGGGGCATGTGGCTCTCAAGCTGTTGTTGGCCTGCAACTCCCATCATGACTTTGTGTTTGCTAAGCCGGCTAGGGCTGATGGTATTTTCAAGCAGTTCCCCTCAAGAGGGTCACATTTTCCCTAGTCCTGAACTACATGGAGAAACTACTCTTTGTGCAAGCATTTTTGATTCTGCATCAAAGCAAAACTTGATAGAAGCTATGAAGAATCCATTACAGTTCAGTAACTTAAGTGGTCTCCGGGGGATGGTGGAGGACAGGAGGCCTGGATGAATGTTGTCCATGGAGTCGCAATGGGTCAGACACGGCTTTGCAACTAACAACAACAAAGGATAAACGAACACTTATTCTTTTAACCTCTACCTTGAGGCTGGCTCTACCATTAGGCAGCCTAATGCAGTTGCTTCCAGAGGCAAATTTGGGAGGTGACAGCAAAGTGCTGAAGAAGGCAGCTGTGTGCTGCATGGCCTGTCTCATACCCTTTAAATCAGTCTGCTGCCTTCAGGGGTTGCTAAGGATGCTGTCCCATTCTCAGTTGCCACTCCAGTCAGTGCCCTTGCATGGAATGTAGGAGGGGGCACCATTTAGTCCTTCGCCTTTGCTTGAGCCACCTCTGATCTTCATAGAACCCATTAGATACAATTAGCACCCAACATGTACAATGTTGTTCCCCAAAGTCAGTTTAGCAAGTACACCCTAATTTCATGCTGATTCACAGATTAGGAAATATGACTATTTCAGTGGACATACTTCAAATTATCATGCCAAATTGCAGCCTTAAGCAGAGTTTGCAAGCATGTTCTCATCGCACTATTCGAAACATGTTTACTGAGATGTAAGGCCTACAGTGATCAATGGACTTACTCACATGTAAGTGTGCATGGGATTGCAGCTTTAATGTATATATAAATTTTCACAGCTTCTTAGGGAAGACACATACACAAGCAAAACATCTGGAAATATAATGTTACATTCCTTCGATTTTTTTATATTTAAACATAATAAGAGCAGTGAGGTATATAAATATACTGTCATACAAAATTAGTATTCAGTATTCCCATACAAAAATAGCTGTGGTACTAATCCTTCTCAATTTTTAGAGAGACTTACTTTCAGTAGATATGCTTATCCCAATTTCATGCTGAATGTAGCAGGTGAAGCTTGTAGAAAACCTCAGTGTGTTGTTTAAACATGAAGTTCTGAGACCATTAAATTCAGTGCCCTTAGGTAAAAGCTGCAATATTTAAAATGCCAAACATCTTGGGCTGATAAAATCTGACTAAGATTATGAATAAGAACTATTTATATTTAACAAGTGTTTTACTGAGTCTCTTCAACACAAACTAGCAGATAAAATCTGATTCTGGGATCTAACCCAGAGCCAACAGAAATTACTTTAAATCTGTTTCAAGCATCTATGACTACTTTAGAGCAGGAGTAAGGTTTCATTCAAGTGATGGATAGGTGCAAAAGCAAAAATACCAGACTATTTTAACTTAAAACTCTTAACCACTACTAAGAAGGTATTTCAACTTTTTGAATATGTAGCAGCAGGGATGGACACCGCAAAAGCTGGGGAACCACCAAAGAATCAGTAAGCTACTTATCTCCTAGCTACACATTCCATGCAGTTTAGGTTTTTCTCAATTCCAGGGTGAGAATATCAGACTCAGAAAATGTGTATTTTGTGTGACCTGGTTTTGCATGGCTTGGCAGCTCACCATGGCTTAATTTACCTGTGGGAGCTGTTGCATTGTGCCAGGTACCCGAAGGCGCCATCTTTGCATGATGCCCATTGATTCCAGCTTGTTGAGACTTGCTCTGTTGTGCAAGCTCAGGCATCAAAGATCTTCTGAGGGTAAGACAATCTCCAATTAATTCCTGGCTTGCCTTAGGTTTATTTCCAGGTTTTATAATGGTCAGACTACTTCTGCTGTCTGCATTCATTAATATGGCAAGCCACGTGCCCATGAATGATGCATCATGAAGTGATAGCCCTGTCAATGAACCCATGTGAATGCCAACAGCAGAGAGAAGTTTATAAACTGTCGGTATGCATGTGCTGTCCTCAGCCCTCATAAGTTTTGGAGGAGGAAGTCTTTAATGCTTTTTTACATACCCCTGGAGCTCCCCAGTGTGCAAGGAATTTCCTGGCTTGTCCCTGCCCACTCCACAGTAGGCCTTTTTTCTGTTTAAAAAGAAGGAAAACCAACTGGAACATGCAGCAAAATGTGACAAGATGTAGCAGTGCGTTGCTGTTCTTTACAACTAGTGCTCCTGGTTATGTCCAGCCATACACAAGAGCTCTTGTAGTGATGCTCACGCCTTTCATGACATAGATCTGAACAACTACAGCAGGAGAGAAGTGAGGAAATACACCTTCCTCCTGCTTGATCCTCTAAGCCCTTTCCTTGCCAGAATATATAGTACCAGAAATACAGGTCTGGAGCAGATTCTCAATACTGCCCCTACACGTTCTGCCTTTGGTCCTAGATCATTTACCATGGCCCAACCTACCAACTTCTCCATAACAGAATTTGGCCCTCAGGCTGAAATAGGTCAATCACCTCTGCTCTGGAGTAAAAAAAGATAAAGGGTACAGAATCTGAACATTATATTGCTATGTACCAGGAGAAAGGGTTGCTGCAATGGGAAAAGCTATTCTTGTTCTGTTCTTTCCACCTGAAATATTCTCATATAGTTAGCACAAAGGTGAGGGGGAGCCCTCATACTTGAACCCTTTAACCTCAATTTCTGTCATCCCTCAAGGAAATTCACTGTGAGTTGCTTGTGCCTTTAGTGGACCATTTCCTCCTCTCCACCTGCACTTTGGGATTCTATACTACAGATTTTTACTGACATTATTTCTCTGATTCACTGGTGTGTCAAATGATGCTCATCTCAAATTTTTCTGCTCATGCTATTCCTCATGCATTACCTTTCTAACTCCTATTTCTACAGCACATTGTACTGTTTTCACTAGCATGTGCCCCTGTAGTGTCAAATCTGGCCTGGATAAGTAGATGACAAAAATCTCTGATAAATGGAAGGGACTGTCATGTCCATTCCTCTGCTTTGTCCAATGCCCTGTAGCACCCTAACATTTCATGTTTGAATTGCTTTCAGCTTCTCATATTTTACCCACCATACACACAATTTGCTTTCCAATAGAAAATTTTCCTAAACTGGTCTGAAATATAATCTGGATTGATACTTTCACAGTCTTCACATTTCAGAGGGCTAGCCATATCAGTCTCCTGCAGCCAGGGTGGATTTGATTTAAATCACTAGCCTGTAAGACTAGATTTAAATCATTGTTATCTACATAATTTGCATATGTGCTTGCTTGCCTACATGCCGGTGGGTTAGACGAACATCAAAATATTCCCAAGCTAGGTCTCCTGTAGAACCTGCTGCCATTATAGGTTTTCTCATCCAGGGAAAGAATTCTATAATAAACCGCAGGCTATACCAAAAAAACAAAAAAAGATCCAGAGACTTGAGTCGTATTCTGTTCAAAATGTTTTACTTTCATTTTTGCTCCTTCCCCTTTGCTCCTCACTCTTAGCTTCTTGTGCAGATCTATTCCACTCCCAACAATCTTCTATTCATTGATTTTTTTAGAACTTAGCACTTAAGAGGTAAGTGCACTTAGCTCTTGAGATTCTGTGTACTTGGATTTGCAAAGGAGCAATGGCATTAAA